GTGTTGAGTGTCGATGTGTGATCCGGTCCAAGTGCCTCCTCCTTGCCTTGCAGCGCTCGAAGGTACATCTTCTCCGCCTCGGCTAGCTTACCTTGGTCGCCGTAGAGGTTGCCTAGGTTGTTGACTGTGTTGAGTGTCGATGTGTGATCCGGTCCAAGTGCCTCCTCCTTGCCTTGCAGCGCTCGAAGGTACATCTTCTCCGCTTCGGCCAGCTTACCTTGGTCGCCGTAGAGGTCGCCCAAAGAGTGAAAAGCCCATTTCAGTCCGTCTGTATTGACCTTGTCAGTCATGATAAAGAGGTCCTGTCGTGTCGCGTGTTGTAGGAGTCGCCGTTGTAAAAGCCACCAATCCTTCTGTATGGTGCTGGGAACTTCTGAAGCCACACAGGTCAAAGCCAGCCTGGCCAAGCCCTTGTCCCACTTCTGGTTAAGCATAGACACTGTCCAGGAGTGTACACAGCTATGCACACTATACCTTCCAGCCCCAAGCGGCAGTGATAGAGATCGATCTATATCGACCAGTCCGAAGCTGCATAGAAGCGTAACCGCCTCATTAAAGTTCAAGTCGTCCTCGACCAGCTTCTGTACCCATTCGTCGTCTGCGGAACTGGCATGTCGAAGAAGTTCGAACCACACATCTTGTCTGTCAAAATACGCCTACCACTGAAGCAATTTGGCCGAAGCAGCATTCTGGCGTTCGATCCGGTCGAACGTGATCTGCCATGTCGTGTACAGTGATCGATCCTCATAAGAACTGAGTTGTGGGGTCGTCATCTGAAGCCTTAACCACGACGCCTGATAAAGCCGAAGATAATCCGAGAAACTCGTGGTCACGTGCCGAAGGTAAGCCCCTGCAGCAGAAAGAGCCAGAGGGAGACCGTCGAGTTCTTCAACTAGCGCTATGGCGCCACGGTCTGTTTTCATGAGCGCTGCTTTGACATCGTAATTTCGAAGTGGGAATCACCTACCAATTTGGATGTTTCCCCGTTTGGACGTATTGGATAGGATCTCTAGGCCTTCCTTAACTGTCTGCAACTTTTGAACATGGAGTTGATAACCCTGGTTAACTTGTGCCGATCGCGTGGTGATGATGATGGAACCATGATCTGCTCGGGGGAGGAATTGGCGTATATTAACTGCAGAGGGGTCGAGATTATCAGCTGTCCGAGGGTTGTCGTAATTATCATAGATCATCAGCCACCGCGTATTTGTCTTGAGGCTGAGCCAGGCGTTGACCGCCGTGACCACTTGATCAGGATTTCCGTCCAAATCCAAGCTGGCGAGTGCACTAGTGGAAATGCTGGCTCCCTGATCTTCGAGGATACGTTGGGCGACGTTTCGAAAACTTAACTTGAGGGAACCCTCGTCATTAGCATTTAACCAGAAGATTGCTGTGTATCTCTCCTTATGCTGGGTGATATATTTGATGGCCAGTTGAGTTTTTTCGATCCCTCTCAGACCGTGGAGAACGATCGTTGATCGAAAGTCGGGGCCGTGCAACACACGGCGCATCTCGGCAAGCTCGTTCTCCCTAGCCACGAATTGTGCTGCTTCAGGAATGGCCAAGCGATCGAACCCGACGACGAACTGATCAGAATCATGCCCTAGCGCGATTAGCTCCATTGATCGATTAGTTAGTGCTGAGATCAAGAGCACCTACCACGGTAGATTTTGTCAATCTCGTCCTGGAGTCGCTTATGGGCCTTCTCCTGGCCTTCTCCATAGACCAGTGGCATAGAAACGTCGAAAATACCCAGCAAGCAATAGGCCTGATCTTCTTCCTCCTTAGTGTGTCGACCCGATGTCCAGGACATCCGCTCGCCACGGCTGAAGGTCTCCAAAGGCGCCCCTTTTAAAGCGGCATGAGGGATGCCGGTAATGTCGTGGATGAGGTCCTGTAGCGTCAGCTTGCTCCCCAATCGTTCGCCTTCCAAACTGAAGAAGTCCACCTGTGTCGGCGCAAGGAGCTCCTGAAGCGTCCAACCTCGCGTGAACCATCGACTTTTCTTGAAGGTCGCCTCCCACGGAATGGTGCCTAGCTGAGGGGCGTCTTGGCCATCATGTAGCGATACATCTGTCAGGTAGGCATAACATCGAGTGGCCTTCTGATACCAGCGAAACATGGAGTTGATAGCCTTGGTGAGCTCCTTGTTATTCCTCTTATCGATGCAGCAGGTGTCGATCCAGAAATATCGAAGGCCATCGGCCGAAGCCTTGTCCGCGCAAAATTCGATCTTTTTCCACCCAGCTTTCCCCTCCCCGGTGCCCGCCTCCACGTCGTGAAAGCTAATCTCGTCGTTACTGTCTCTTGACCAGGTATGGGAGAGGATAGCGTAAGCTGGGATGTCCGTTCTTGTGGATTCCCTAAAGGCCAGATCGCCGTTGGGTTTGCGCTCTAAGAGGCGCATCGTGGGGTGTGGGGAGCAGACGGGGCAGGTTTTGGGGCAGACACTACTCGAAGAGCTCGGGCGGCATGGCGAGGCAAAGTTGGTATCTCACGCATGGAAGAAGTGACAACCTGATCACAGAAAAAGTAAAAAGCGCTTCGTCAAAGGTGACGTCCGTAAGGTTGCGTCGTAGCGGAGCTCACACATAATGCCACGCCGCAGTGAGGCTGAACATTGTATCAGGAGGCTGCCATGCGCGCGAGGTCTGTGCAGCTGTACACCGGTTAGAATAGTCACGTGACTGTAGCCTTTTGGCGCGGTCATGCGCTTGATTCCAAAAGGGTCTGATCTGAGCCAGCCTCAGCCACATCTCGACCCCGCAAACGAGGAGTATGGTGGCTGTGCTAGCTAGGATTGGACGAAAATTCGAGGACACTCTGGCAAGATGGCTTGGCCGAGAGCAGTTCGATACTGCACCTTCTCCTACTACACGTGTTGCTCTGCGCAGGCTCTTAACGCTGCGTAAAAATGGCACCAAACCTCTCAGCTTCACAGCATGCGCAGATCCACTGTAGGAGCAACATCCAATTAAACCTTGAAACCGACGGGGATGGAGTGATCACTGGTATAGCACTACAATGACTTACCAGTGATTCTTGTGGCTAAATATTCTCATAGCTATTGAGCGCGAGCACTTCTGCAGCATATGAGCCTCTCATAGCCTTATTACCGTAATATGTGGTGTGCGGTGAGAATTATAATGTACATATCATGTATTACTCAGTGTATTTTTGGTACTTGACTGGTATGACAGAAACCACGGGAAGAGGCGGCCGAGTAGTACCCCGATATTAGTGAGTGTACTATCACTAAATAGGCATTATTGAGGCACCCTATAATTTAAAGTTTCTGCGAAAGAAACTCACCACACTATATACAGGGGAGGGCAGTTTCGGGAAACTCTGTACAGTATCAATGTATTGTAGAGCCAAAGGGACCAAAGGGTTCCTGCCTAGTTTTATGGAGGTTGGCGCAGGGGTCTATGTACCAAGTGACGAATCACGTGTCGCACGTGATGCCAAGCTATGACAAATGAAGATCAGGAAATATTCATCTCAACTCGGATATCCACCTTGATTTACTATGCCCATAACGTTTGATAGCCTCGAACAAATATCTGAGTGGCAATCTTCCTTAATTCTTTCTACTGTATGGAGCGAATAAATATCTCATATTATACCCTCCCAGCCGCATGGCTCCTCTGCTTAGCGCTGCATGTCTATGCTATCACACTCTATGACAAAGCTTCGCCAGAGTCGAAGTTCGATAGAGTGAACCCTAGGACTTTGCTAGCTGCCCTGGAAGCCAGCTAAGCAATAGAGACATCTACCAAGCAACGTATTGCGCGTGCTGAAGGAGCACAATACAACGGTTTTGAGAACCTCGGCTTTTTTGCTGGCTCTGTGGTTGCGGGAAATGCTCATGGCGTCGATGTCTTGTGGTTGAATGCACTGAGTATCACATATCTCCTCAATAGAGCATTGTTCAATGTGCTTTACATCAGAGGAGCTTCGGGATTCGCAAGGGGCGGTGTATTCTATGCAGCACTCACGTAAGCCTTGAAAGCTTCCTCACAGTTCCCTACTAAATTCGTATATAGCGCTGTAATTACTCTCTACATTAAAGCTGGCAATCGAAGCTTTATAAAATCATAATCTAACTAGCTAGGAATCACTCAAAGTCGCTGGAATTTGGTGGCGTGACCGAGCTTCCATGCGCATAGAAGGATGCAGCAGTCTTTGGAAGTATGGGTTACGTGGACGTCTAACAAGTGCAAGGTTCTTCTGTAACGCATTGGCCCAGTTCGAGTGACTCATATGATACTGTAATGTTCTTTCAAAATCCAGAAGCGTTTCCATACTGTACGCCTGTATCTGTTGAAGAATAGTTGATTGTCCTGATAGAATCCACAAAGAATAGGATGATGCGACACGGCTGTAAGGCTACTCAAGATGAAGGACCAAGGCGCACAAGATATCTCAGACATAAGGAAAGGGGTCACAAGTTGGATGGATAGTCGACACGTAAGCCGTACATTCTTGATACAACTTCCTTCACAAAGGTGCTGCTCTTCGGACACCATCTTGAAGATTTCCGTCCCTATCTCGGGGAGAAGCTGATCTTGTAAATTCATTATTGGGCCAGAGAGTTCGCGAGCCAGCCTCTTGAGTAAAGAGGCAGAGCGAAGAAAGCAGGATGGGAAACGAGTCATTCAAAGGAAATAAGGCAGCCCCAATGGACTACATGCTCCTAAGGACCATGTTCTTCTATTCATACGCAGGGGAAAGGCTACGTACGCTCTTTATCAATGGTAGAGGCTCATGCATGCCATGTACGTTTTAATCTTTATAGTAAGTATTGCTTACGTGATGTGAACATAGGTGAAAAGTAGTGTACGGAAACCTTATTTGGACTGCGAGCACCGGCTGGCATGAAACCACAAGATAAGCGCCAAGCGACCTACTCAGATAAATATGGTCTCCATCAAGTTCATTTACCCAATTGGCGCCTTTTTCATGGTTGACCTGAGGTTAAAGGTCCTGCAATGCGGCCTATTAACCTCCTTCCGTATCTATCTCTTGAAGGGCTGGAAATCCGTCTCGACCAAGGTCACCTTCTCATGAAGATGCCGTCGTGCCAATCTCCGCAAAACGTCACGGGTTTCCGCAAATGCCGACACTGAATTTGATCAGTCTGTGTTCTTTTCCTGGAACTATGAGACTCACTGAGAATAAGGGTCGAGCCCTGCGACGTCTGCCGCAATTCGGACATTTGCCGCTTGTCCTGTGTGAGCGGATTAAGTCCACTGCGCTCACTCTGGAGTGGCACGTTTGTCCATGGTTGCATGAACTCATCTGTCGAATATTCGGAAAGGGCGCTTCGTCGCGCCAGATCTGGGACGTCTGAATTCGGTCAACTTGAATCTATAAGAGGGCTGAGAAGTGCTTACATTGCGTTCTATACTCGGCGGGAATTGGGGTGGAGGGAAGACTTCCGGGAAAGCCTTTCATTCTGTCGTGTTGACGTTCGCCATTGAATGCTAACTCGCTCTTCACCAGTTGGTCAAAGTTGGCCTTTCCAGGATAGACAGTGCTTCGTCTTCCAAATGAGATCTTGGAAATATCGTCGAGGTTGACGTAGATAGAGACCTGGAGGATCTATCATTTGATCAGTGATGGTGGAAGAATGAATTGACGAATTACGTACACCACCACTCTCCAGCTTGTCTTCATCCAGCACATCGTTCACAAAAGGCTGCGCGGCAATGCCGACATCTGAGATGGTCAGCAGGAGTCGGGTCTGAAGTCGGAATGCCCACCAATGTCACTGATCTGCCAGATCAAATGGATCCTACGAGTGATCACACGACGATTGTGGTAGCCATGAATCAGCTTCTTCAGGTATGGCACTTGAGAGGCGATTCCGACTCCATCAGCGATCAACACAACCGTCTCGTGCTCACCAACCGCGACAGTATTCCCATGTGGTCCGCTAAACATGGCCCACTTGCACACCAAAGGTCCATCTGGGCGAGCAATGTGAAGAAGATCTCTCGTGAGGCCTCGCCGTGGCTGGATAAAAATCTCCAGACATTCTTGCGCCTCAGTGGACCAAGAGGCGACCATAAACGGATGGCTCTGCCAAAAGGCTCCGAGGCCTACGGAGGGTACCCATAGATTGATGTACTGGCCAGGCTCGATTTTCAAAGGTTTGCAGAGATGCACCTTCAATTTCAGCATCCCACACGAGTTCGTGACGGTGACCCGTGAACGTTGACGGAACGACCATCCATTGCGGACAAGAACCAACACGGCCTCGCAAGCGAATGCCACCGCCATTAAGGCAAGAAAGATGAGAAGATACAATCGATCCGGACACCGTACTGACGATAAATGTTGCCAGATTGAAGCTGCACAAAGAAGCGACAAAATCTGATGAAGTCGAATAAAGATCTCATAAGACGCTTTCTGAACCAAGCTTCGTGGAGTGATGATGAGTATGCAGAATGCCAAAGCCGCCTAGGTTGATTAGCAGCGAGAAAAGCGGCAGGGAAGGATGATCTCACAATGACCACGGACGGTTTCTCAAGTTCTCTCCGAAATAAGGCCCGCTCGGTCACGGCGACCACGATGACGTGAAAAGCGGCCAGGCCAAAAGCCACGAAGCTGACCGTACGATGGGCAGCTCGAACGGCGCCCACAGAGAGACCCAACAAGTCGGCCAGAAAGTTGAGGTGAAGACCACTCAACAACGGACCTAAATTGATGACCGACAACGTCCCTGCGCGGCGTCCGGCATGCGACAGATCGGCGACACCAACACCCAAACACACCACGTTGACTGCCAGATATATGACGCGCAGCAAGACTGCGGTCACAGTCCAGGGACCCATAAAGGCGTGACGATTGAGAACATAGGTATAACTCAAGTATTGGTGTATCCGGGAAATGGTGGCAATGAGCCTGGGAGCGAACGAGGAAACCCCGGTTCGCAGTAGAAATACCAAAGTAATGCCAGTGATGACAACCGCATAGATCTGAGTAGTATCCATGGTGAGCGAGAGTTGAATTGTTCGAAGGGAATATTGCCCGGGGGAAGAGGCCTAACAGGCCATGGTTCGGAAGGACGCAGATTGAAGATTAAATAGCTCAGGAGAAGATGATCATCCCAGCACTGTGCTATGTTTAGATCTTAGCAGGTAGCGCAAACAGCCGAAATCAGCCGTTGAATTGCAATGCGTCTTAGGAGTGACAAAGTTTCACTACTCTATCTCGTTTAACGTATGTCCGGAATTACGGTCTGTGATGGGGTCTGACATCCAGAATCTCCCCGAACCCAAACGCAGGTCGGGAATTCACGTAGAATGGAATTACATGTGAGGCTTGCCTGGGATGGTTTTCCTATGTGAGATTGAGGGAAGGGCATATTGCCAACCGATTTGGATGCTTCGCGTCATGCATAGCAAAGAATACTTCGATCCAATGCTACCGGACCTCAATCGAAGTATCTGTAGGCTCTCCGAACGGAGAATGAAGCCAGCTCTTCCAACAACACCAAGTCCTCCTTGCGCCATGAACGCTGCAACAAATTGTGCTTTAAAGATCAGCAGCTGTCAGAAGAATTCTTATTCAGAAGTCCTCACCTGTTGTAGTTCCGTCACGGACCCTGCAGAAGTAGTCATCGACAAAAATCCCACGGATGGGGAGTTCCCGCGCCAGCGATTGGGATTCTCGATTCCGATAGCCCCGTCGTCCTTTACATATTTCTGCATAAGCTCCATTGCGATAAAGCCGACCGCCCTCACATCGGCCGCGTTTGGTTCCTCAGCGACACAACAGTACTCTTGGTTGGCTGCAATCAATCAGTCCTACCCTACACGGCCATTGTTGGATGCTCACCCAGGACGATGTCTCCGCTCGGCTTCAGCAGTACGTTTGAGCATGCCAACGAGCCGTGCTGGAGCCCGATTGAGCTCAGATAACACAGACCTTCCAGAATCTAATCTAGTCAGAGAACAGGTCTCCATCAGCACCTAGGACGTCAACACACCTGTGCCAGAATGGCGACCAGCTGTCGCTCAGTTGGATAAGCCGGGCAAGCCACCACTTGCTCCAGCGAGACGAAAACGTGTTCGAAGACGGCAAAGTACGTCTGTTCCCACTCGAAAACCTCCATCACCCTGATAAATTTCTCGTGGCGAACTTTGTTCAACATGTCGAGGATTCCTTCCCCTTCACGTCTTTTGTAATTTTTGATGGCAACCTTGCCTGAATTCGGAGATGACCCGACGGCGACGGTGACAAAGTCCTCGAATTTGAGCTCATATCCCTGCTTGTACATCTTCCACGGTGATTCGTGCCGGACCGTCAGCAGAATCGCTCTCACGCCGGGAGGCGTCTGGCGGTGAGCAGATGCGCTAGGTTTCAGCATCCCTGGCTCGGTGGCCTTTTCAATCTGTTTTCCAATTCCCTTTTTGGTATCTCTTCCCGTGTCAGTGGCGGGGGACAATTTTTTCCATGATGTGCTGATCCTTTCCGCTGTCCTGGCGATCTGCTCGAGGTGGTTTGGAGCGGTCGATGACTTGGAGCCGGGTTCATTCCCGATAGCTCCCAAATCGATACGTGATTCTCTATTCTGGGCCGAACGAGCGAGGTGCCGATGGGATCCAGGCTGCATGGGTATGGGCATGGTTATGAGGGAGGTGTAAGTCGGACTTGCGGGTGGTAAGAAACTGTTTGGGGTACGTTAGATATTTAAATAGTCACAACCGTGGAATTGCTTTAGCCTCTGATTCCTCACAGACCTGTTTACATACATTA